ATCGTCTGTTGCTGCTGTAGCATTGTCTGTCTGCTGCTGTAAGCATCGTCTGCTGCTGCTGCTGCTGTAGCATCGTCTGCTGCTGCTGCTGCTGTAGCATCGTCTGCTGCTGCTGCTGCTGTAGCATCGTCTGCTGCTGCTGTAACATCGTCTGTTGCTGCTGTGCATCATCTGTTGCTGCTGTAGCATCGTCTGCTGCTGCTGTAAACATCGTCTGTTGCTGCTGTAGCATCGTCTGTTGCTGCTGTAGCATCGTCTGTGCTGCTGTAGCATCATCTGCTGCTGCTGCTGCTGCTGTAGCATCGGTCTGCTGCTGCTGTAACATGTCTGTTTCTGTGCTGTAACATCGTCGGATGTGCTGAGATCGTCTGCTGCTGCTGTAGCATCGTTCTGTTGCTGCTGTACCACCGTCAGCTGCTGCTGCTGCTGTAGCACCATTGTTGGTGTGGCTTATTGAGAATACCAAGAAACAATTAACCCCAGAGGATTAGCCACCCAGGATAACCCAAAAAAGTCAGTGTCATCGAAGACTGTAACTTATTTCCATTGGGGTCCTTAATCTTGTCTCCCAGGATGCAACCCACACAAGTCGACTAACACCCAGGTGAACAGGGAAAAATGCCTGGAACTAGTGCTCATATTGGTGAATTTAAAGCCAGCAAAGGTTGGTTTGAGAGATTTAAGAATCGTAGTGGCATACACAGTGTGATAAAGCCTGTTCTGGAAGAAAATGCCAAACAGGGCCTACAGTACTCAGGAGGAAAAGGCACTCCCAGGACACAGTGTCTCATCAGTCATTGCTGCATCTTCAATAAAGGTGTCATTTATTCTTCATTTAGTAGACTAGTACATGCACAATATATACTGTGCATGTACTACTCTACTATTGTGCATGTATCCTTCTCTTTGTGTGTAGGAAAATGTATATTTCATGTGGTAAAAATTTTTTTTTCATACTTTTGGGTGTCTTGCACGGATTAATTTGATTTCCATTATTTCTTATGGGGAAAATTCATTCGCATACCGATTATTTCGCATAACAATGAGCCCTCTTGCACGGATTAAAATCGTTATGCGGGGGTCCACTGTAGCTATGATTTTGGTCGACTGGAACAATGGAACTGGCCAAAAACAGGGCTCAAAGTGGGCAAAATCGCTGATGCGTAAATATTGCTGAGACCACTAACTTTGTGATAGCATAATTCCCTAAGTTTTCCATCAAATTTCATACTTTTGGTGTCATTACCATCAGAAAAAGATTCTCTATCATTTCATAAAAACAATTTTTTTTTTTAAATTCTTCGACAGTGAGAGCAAGTTTGCGAGCAGGGTCTCGACAGTGAAAGGGTTAATCAACTGCTGTACCCCCCGGCTTAATCCTTCTCTTCATACTTACACACACACACACACACCATTTATCCAATTTCCTTGAGATGTTTACATTCGTTAAATGTGGATTTATATTACTTGAAAATTTAGTAACAGAGTAAATTCCGAATTTCCCCCCCCCCCTCTCTCTCTCTCACACACACACACACACCCATATTCCTCTCACTAGCATGGCACCATCTTTCTCTCACCAGCATGGCACCATCTTCCTCACACCAGCATGGCCCCATCTTCCTCTCACCAGCATGGCACCATCTTTCTCTCACCAGCATGGCACCATCTTCCTCACACCAGCATGGCCCCATCCCCTCCTCTACCCCTCTTATGAGACGAGTAAGAGGAAGAGCAACGTGGTACACTGAAGCTTTATACATTGTACAAAGCATGACACACACACACACACACACCAGGCCTAGTGTCTAATCGACATGTGCCTAGGACAAAATGGTAACTAACACACACACACACACACACACACACACACACACACACACACACAAAGAAAAATTCAACAAGTTTAAAGAAGAAGCAGAGAAAAGAGACTGACCCGACTGAGATGCTTCAAGCAAACAAGGATGCAATGAAGAGAGAAAAGGAACTTACATACGAAGAGAGAAAGCAGAAAATGTCATAAAAGTATTAGATGGAGAAAATCTAGAAGTAGGAAAAGACATGAAACAAAACAACACAGGAGATAACCAGCCAACATATACTCAGAAGGTAAAAGAGGAGACAGCAGTAATGACCATGAACAACCTAGGTAAAAACTGCAACCTTGAAAAGGCATGAGGAGGAGGAGGAGGAGGAGGAGGAGGAGGAACACTGGACAAAGGGTTATGATGTTTGGACTTAATGAAGAAAGAGAAATAGAAAAAAAGTGCAAAGACAGAAGGCAGAACAAAAACTTGAAAAACTGATGGAAGAATTGAGAGTAGCAAGAGAGAAGAAAAATCTGTTTTTTTTTTTTTAACGAGCATAAGCAGAGGGAAGATTAGGCTTTACGAATTGCGTAGTCAGTAAAAAAAAAAAAAAAAAAAAAAAATAAATTATTAACACATCAGCCTTTTCCCACCAAGGTAAGGTGGCCTGAAAAAGAGAAACTTTCACCATCATTCATTCCATCACTATCTTGCCAGAGGTGCCCTTATGCTGCAACATTAACACCCCTCCTTCAGAGTGCAGACTCTGTACTTCCCATCTCCAGGACTCAAGTCTGGTCTGCCAGTTTCCCCGAATCCCTTCATATATGTTACCCTGCTCACACTCCAACAGCACATCAAGTGCTAAAAACCATTTGCCTCCATTCACTCCTATCTAATACACTCATGCATGCTTGCTGGAAGTCCAAGCCCCTCTCATGCAAAACCTCCTTTACCCCCCTCCCTCCAACCTTTCCTAGTCTGACCCCTACCTCGCCTTCCCTCCACTACAGATTTATACACTCTCGAAGTCATTCTATTTTGTTCCAGCCTCTCTACATGTCCAAACCACTTCAACAACCCTTCCTCAGTCCTCCGGTAATCCCACACCTCCTAATTTCCAAACTACAATTTTTGTTTTTCAACAAGTCGGCCGTCTCCCACCGAGGCAGGGTGACCCAAAAAGAAAGAAACAGCAACCACCCAGGGAGGTACTACCGTCCTGCCAAGTGAGTGTAAAACGAAAGCTTGTAATTGTTTTACATAATGGTAGGATTGCTGGTCTCTCTTGTCTGTCTCATAAATATGCAAGATTACAAGTACGTCTTGCTACTTCTACTTGCACTTAGGTCACACTAAACATATATGTACATGTTTATTTATACACACTCATCCGAGTTTTCTTTGATTTTATCTTAGTTCTTGTTCTTATTACTTTTCCTTTTATATCCATGGGGAAGTGGAATAAGAATCTTTCCTCCGTAAGCCATGCATGTTGTAAAAGTCAACTAAAATGCCGGGAACAATGGGCTAGTAACCCCTTTTCCTGTAATAATTACTAAAAAGAATAAGAAGAAACTACAAATTCTCTGTATTACATTCACACCACACATTGCCCTCAGACATGACATCTCCACTATACCTTACCTTTGATATACCTTTGAAGAATTTCGAGAGTATATCTACCCTCCGAGTCCGGCCATGGGCCAGGCTTGTCTGGTGCTCGCCTGGTCAACCAGGCTGTTGCTGCTGGAGGCCCGCTGCCCCACATATCCATCACAGCCTGGTTGATCTGGCACCTGGTGAAGATACTTGTCTAGTTTCCTCTTGAAGGCTTCAACACTTATTCCAGCAGTGTTTCTGATATCTTCTGGTAAGATGTTGAAAAGTCTGGGACCCTGGATGTTGATACAGTGTTCCCTTATTATCCTCACCACACCCCTGCTTCTCACTGGGTTTATTTTACACTTCCTCCCATATCTCTCACTCCAGTATGTTGTTATGGCAGTGTACAGATTTGGGACCAAGCCCTCAAGTACCTTCCAGGTATATATTATCATGTACCTCTCTCTCCTCCGCTCCAGTGAGTACATGTTCAAGACTTGCAGGCATTCCCAGTAGTTTAGGTGCTTTACTGGCTCAATGTGAGCCGTAAACAATCTCTGTATCACTGCCTCCAGCCTTCTCCTTGTTGCAACATTCATCACCCATATAAGATCATTGGTATAACTATACTCTCATACATTCCCCTCTTTGCTTCCATGGACAAAGTTGTTTGTCTCCACAGACTCCTAAGTGCACCACTCAACTTTTTTTCCTCATCAATTCTATGATTCACCTCATCTTTCATAGACCCATCTGCTGACAAGTCCACTCCTAAATATCTGAATACATTCACCTCCTCCATACTCTCTCCCTCCAAATCTGAAGGGTTCACAAAATTCTGACACAGTACACATCAAGGAAGATTGGACTGAAGATAAATGAAGGGTAAAAAAGGGAGAAATGGGAAAGTGGTAGGGAACAGAGGAAGGAAAGAGGAAACAGAAAAAGCTTTCGCAATAGGGGTGAAGCAATATATGGCAGTACGGGAAGTATCCCAGAACTCCATGAAACAACACAACATACATGACTGTATATAATTTTTCCACTCCATGCCACAAGCCCTGAAAGCAATCTGCACTGATAGCTGAGGGAATAAACAAGATATGTTAGGCTATAACACACCACAAAAGGAATATTTAAATAACATAACAGGGTCGCTTATGAATAAACAACACAATGTAAACATGTCCACATACATTCTCCATTGCTAATCAGATATTCAGGTGAAAAACACCAGTTAGGATAACACACACACAGTTTTACCACAGCACAGTATTAATGGTAATAGTTGGAAATGAGAATCAGTCTCTAAAATAAAATTTCCAACAGCACAGTCTGTAACAGAACCTTTATAAATTGTCCTTTAAATACCATTCCTAAAAATTTTCATCCTGAAATGAACTAAGAAGTGCCAGCATAATTTTTAAATTTATAACATTTGAGGTAATAAATCTATATCATTATCATAAAATGGCTAGGAGAATAATTTGATCCTACGCTAGCTTGATTCTGAACGACAAATTATAAGTTGCATGTCAAAAAATTTTCATTATAAGTACCAAGTACGTACTAACTTATGCACTATACCTCTATGGTGGCCAGCATAGTGAGTGAAGTGATAACAGGTAGCAAGTAGTAAGGGTCACACACATTGAGATCCATAAACCAAAACAGACCACCAGTCTGGAAGCTATCCAGGGGTAGATTGGCCAACCGTCGGAGAGCAAGGAACACGGAAATAAAGACGGGTGCCTAAAAAGTAAAATATCAAGCATTAAAATATATGTGACATTTCCCAATCTTTTAAAATGTGGCTTAAATTTTTTTTAAGCATCAGGCTCTAAATGCTAATTAACGAAGCCTCTGTATTTAATGAATAAATGTCATATACTAAGCTCAATAAAGATAAAAAGGCAAAAAGTGTGAAAAACCAAATCAACCATTGAATTGGTCTGAAAACGAGTCTCAGATCAATTTCCCAATACCTCAAGTTTTCACTGGGTCACTCCTATTTTGAAAATGACTGACATATGGGATGAGATGGAAGGTTGCAGTGTGTAAGTTGAGGCAGATGGCTCTGGTGTGTTTGATGAGGTGGATGTCTGCGTTGCATGGGATAAGGTGGACAGCTGTAATTATTGGGCTGAGTCTAATACAGAGTTGCTATTTACTGGAGTCCTCAAGAATTCTGGCATGCTTCTCTGCTGTGTTTTTCTCAGCAGTGCTTTACACAGATAAGACAATCACCTGCACCATAGCCCACTTTACAGCAATACTTCAAAGTTAGCAAAGGTCTAATCAGTGAAAGCATCTAATTTTATCAACAGCCTTCTAGGCTATAACTAGGACTGTATCAATTACTGGGATGCCCTAAACCATGATGAATCTTTCTTAGTTGCATTTTATTATATGAGAAATGGGGAAAAACTTACGATTTTTGGGGTTTACCTGGAGGGGGTTTCAGGGGTCAACGCCCCCGCAGTTCGGCCTGAGATCAGGCCTCGTGGTGGATCAGAGTCTGATTAATCAGGGTGTTGCTGCTGGCCACAAGCAAACTGACGTACGAATCACAGCCCAGCTGGTCAGATACTGACTTTAGGTGCCTGTCCAGTGCCTTTTTGAAGACGGCCAGGGGTCTATTGGTAATCCCCCTTATATATGCTGGGAGGCAGTTGAACAGTCTTGGGTCCCGGACACTTATTGTGCTGTCTCTCAGTGTACTCGTGGCACCCCTGCTTTTCATTGGGGAAATGTTGCATCTCCTGCCAAGTCTTTTGCTTTCATAGGGAGTGATTTTCATGTGCAAGTTTGGTACTAATCCCTCTAGGATTTTCCAAGTGTATATTATCACATCTCTCTCTCTCACCTGCATTCCAGGGAATACAAATCAAGGGCCTTCAACTGTTCCCAGTCATTTAGGTGCCTTATCATACTTCTGTGTGCTGTGAAAGTTCTTGTACACTCTCCAGGTCAGAAATTTCACCTTGAAGGGGGCAGTTAGCATACAGCAGTATTCCAGCCTAAAGAGAACAAGTGATTTGAAGAGAATTCATCATGGGCTTCGGGTCCTTAGTTTTGAAGGTTCTCATTATCCATTCTACCATTTTCCTAGCAGATGCAGTAGCTACATTGTTGTGGTCTTTGAAGGTAAGATCCTCTGACATTATCACTCCCAAGTCCTTCATATTGCTTTTTCGCTTTATTGTATGGTTAGAATTTGTCGTATACCCTGATACAGTTTTAATTTCCTCAAGTTTTCCATATTTGAGTAGTTCAAATTTCTCTTCATTGAACTTCATATTGTTCTGAGTGGCCCATTTGAAGATTTGGTTGATGTCCGCCTGGAGTCCTGCGGTGTCTTCGATGGAGTTCACTGTCATGGGAATCCGGGTGTCATTCGCAAAGGAAGATACAGAGTAATGGCTTACATCTCTATGTCAGATATGAGGATGAGGAATAGAATGGGAGTGAGTAATGTGCCTTGTGGAAAAGCTTTTCACTGTAGCTGCCTTTGTTTACTATTACTCTTTGTGTTCTATTTGTCAGGAGGCTATAGATCCATCTACCAACTTTTCCTGTTATTCCTTTATCGCACATTTTGTGTGCCATTACACCATCATCACACCTGCCAAAAGCTTTTGCAAAGTCTGTGTATACTATATCTGCATTTTGTTTATCCTCTACAGCATCCAGGCCCTTGTCATAGTGGTCTAGTAGCTGGGACAGGCAGGAGTGACCTACTCTAAACCTGTGTTGCCCAAGGTTGTGTAATTGATGGCAATCTAGGTGGTTGGCAATCTTGCTTCTTAGAACCCTTCCAAAGATTTTTATGATATAGCATGTTAGTGTTATTGGTCTGTAGTTCTTTGCAATTGCTTTACTGCCACCTTTGTAGAGTGGGGCTATGTCTGTTGTTTTTGGAGAGTGTGGGATGACCCCCATGTCCATGCTCCTTCTACAAAGAATGCTGAAGGCACGTGATAGGGGCTTCTTGTAGTTCTTGACGAACACTGAGTTACACGAGTTTGGGCATGGGGCAGAGTGCATGGTTATGTCATTTATTGCCTTTTCAAAGTCTTGTGTTAGGATAATATACGAGATTTTTTATTTGACCAAATTTTGGGTCTCATTCATCCATGATTCATTTGGATTGTCGACCCTTAGATTTTTTTTTTTTTTCATTGGACATGTACAGATTTTGTTGCAGGCACTGTAATACTTAGCATCATAAGCAAATGCTAGTATGTATATATTTAAATTTACACTGGCTGAAACCCAAGTCAGGTCATTTTTGTACATCTTTCCAAAGTAAGTGTACAAGTCTCACTTTTTTCTGGCAGTGAAACGAAGTGTTTTTGTGCATAATTTTTATATTATACTCATCACACACAGGTCTTTCCTCTTTATCTATCTGCATACAGTCAACACATAATCAGCCTTGAGCGATTTATTGCAACGCACAGTGCCCCGTGGCCTGGTGGCAAAAGCTCTCACTTCACATGGTGAGGGTCCGGGTTCAATTCCTGGTGAAGAGGTGGAAACATTGGACGTGTTTCCTTACACCAGTTGACAGACCCTGAGCTGCTTTGGGGATTAGCGTGGACGGTTACAAAGCATGGCTTGCTTCTGCAGTGTTTTAAAAACTGAGTTTGGAGAGTTGAAGGAGGAGGTCTTGCTTCTCCAGGAGGAGATTAGGAGGCTGAAGGTCCACCTCAATGGGCCTGGGAGAGAGTGTGAGGTGGTTGGAGATGTGGGGAATGAGGGTTCTAGCAGTGAGGTGCAGTCTGTCTCTCACTGTGAGGAGGCTGTAGGTGGGGAGGTAGCAACGGGTACCAGCAGTGAGGTGCAGCCCAGAAACCTGCTACAAGTGGCGAGTTGTTCACAGTAATGGGAGGCGCATCAGAGTAAGGAAAGTTAAGAGTGAAGATCTAAAGGTAGGAAATCGCTTCTCTGTTCTCCAGGATGAATGTACTTCAGTGGCCAGTAAAGGTAAGGGTACTATGCCCCTGCTAATGAGGTAAGCGCATTCTTGTGGTTGGTGACTCTCGGGTTTAAGATATGGTTGACCTTTGCTTTTTGTAATAGGGAATAAGAAGATGGGGAGTAGAGTGTGCTTCCCTGGAGTGGTGTTGGGGACATTGTCAACAGACTGGATAATATCATGTCAGGTAATGGGAAAACAAGCCCATTATCTGTCTCAGTGTGGTGGAAATGATATTGGGAAGGGTGGAGGGAAGAGCTGCTAGATAAGTACAGGTCAGCTATAGATTTCATTAAGTCTAAGGGAGGGATCCCATCATATGTAGCATCTTCCCTAAAAGGGGATAGGAAATAAAATGGTTGTCTAGGGCAATTTGGTGTAAATTGTGGCTAGACAGATACTGCAAGGAACTTGCAATCCCTTTCATTGACAACTGGAACAACTTTTATGGAAAAACATGATATGTATGAAGGGATGGGGTTCATCTCTCTGGGGCAGGGGTGGTAGCACTTGCAGACTCGATTGAGAAGGCCATTGGTAAAAATGCCTATGATTTTAAACTGATGGAAGATAGAGGTTATGGGTTGTGGGGTGGGAAACAAGGGAGGTTGCAACACTAGGGTTGGAAACAGTAAATGTATAAAAGGATTCAGCATGAAGTTATAAATAAAGACAATAGAACAGGTCAGAAAACAAAGGGGGACAGCAGAGGGCAGCAAGGGACTAGCTCCCCTTTAAAGGGTTTATATACTAATAGCAGAGTGTTAAATAAGATAGATGAGCTAAGATTATTGCAAGTGCAGGAAACATAGATATTATTGCTATAACAGAGACCTGGCTCAATCTGAAAGATAGAGAGATGCCATCTGAATGTCACATACAAGGCTATAAATTATTCCACACTGACAGGTCACAGGAAAGTGGGGGAGTAAGTAGCGATGTATGTCAGAGACAATTTAAATTTGTTGTGTTAGACAAGATATTACATTAGAAGCTTTCAGCCCCCTGAATCTGTTTGGTTACAGCTTCTCGAGGGCCCGGGAGAAAAACTAATTTTTGGGTGTGATTTACAGGGCCCCAAATCTTGTAGGGAGTGCAGTAAACTTCTATGGGACGAAATTCGAAAGGGCATCTACATACGAAAATGTTGTGCAAGGGGGAGATTTCAACTTATAGACAGATTGACTGGAGCAATTTGACAGGAAATTTAGAGTCGGGTGACTTTTGATACGATCCAGGATTGTTTTTTTAAAACAGTTTGTGACGGGAGCCAACTAGGGGAAAAAACCTCCTTGACTTGGTTCTTGCCAGTAGGGAAAAACACTAATTAATAATCTTGAGGTTAATGATAGCTTGGGGGAGAGTGATCACAAATCACTCAGTTTTAACATATCATGGAATTCCCCTAATAATGGCAATCAAGTCTCCGTCCCTGACTTTCCGCTTGGCTGATTTCATGGGAAACTGAAAAATTACTTAGGTGGGCTGAACGGAAATGACCTGACTGGGGGTCAGGTAGGTGGTGATGGTTGCCGATATGATGCTTTCCAGGGCTTTAGTTCTAGCTGCTCATCAAATTATGTTCCAAATGGGGAAATCAGATCAAACAAAAATGTTTCCAAAATGGATGAACAATAGATTAAAATATCTGATTGGTCAAAAGAGGGCATTTATAGGCAAATCAAAAGAGAGAGGGGCAATTAAGAAAAACGATATATTCAGTTAAAGAGAGAAATAAAAAAGGGAATTAGAAAAGCAAAAAGAGATTATG